ATATGTTAGAGGAAGTCTGAAAGTGGCACCTGTGACAGAGAAGTTGAGAAGTGCGCGTTTGGGATGGTATGGACATGTGATGAGACGAAATGAAAATGAGGTTAGTAAGATAATGTTAACTATGAATGTGGAAGGATATAGAGGAAGAGGTAGACCTAAGAAGAAATGGATGAATCGCGTGAAAAACGATATGGGTAAGAGGGGAGTGAGCGAAGAAATGGTATATGATAGAGGAGTATGGATGGAGAAAACATGTTGCGCCAACCCTAGGTGACTGGGAGAAGGGCAGGAAAATGATGAGGATGATCTATTTTAGTCTTTTATTGAATTAACAAAATGATTTTGTCCCAATTTCATTTATGGATAGCTCTTTAATAGCTCCTAAACAAAAAGAAACTAGTGAAGGCGGCGAACGCACGTGAAAAAGGTATTCGAACAGTTTTGTCTTTGTTTATTTATATGTAGTTTTAACAATTGACAACGAAATATTGGAGGCGAACGAGGCGTGTGCAAAAAAAACCGGTATTGTCACCAACATTGGCCAGCGCCAGCGTTCTCGGAACCACAATCGCACTTTCCATTTAGCCACCTTGAATCTGTCAACAAAAGATTATCCTAAACTGCACTTATCTATTTGCGAAATCTCCACCGCACCCGACTATGACCTTTAAAGCTGAAGCGTTAGGGTACGTGTTCCCATGAAGCTCTCGTAATAAGGATTTCCGCTCGAACCAACCTGCTTTCGGCGGCAGACCCTCGAAAGGTGTTCGTATGTGCCAAAGGAAAGTATTTAGTTATCTTTCGTCTTGGGGCCGGCGGCGGTCCTACAGGGTTTCCACGTCATTGCTCTCCTGAGCCATTGTTGCGACGAAGGCTCGCATAGTATAAACGTCTTTACCCTAAAAATATTCCATTTAGAAATGCAACATAGGTGGTTTCTTTTAAGTATGTATAGCAATTGGGTATCCATAGAAAATCAAATACCTTTCAACTCTATCCAGTCTTTAACACTAAGCCCATTGACCGCAAAATTTTCATTTGCTTAATTACTGGTGGTAGGACGTCATGTGAGTCCGCACCGGTAGGTACCACAACCCTGCCTATTTCTGCCGTGAAGCAGTAAATGCGTTTCGGTTTGAAGGGCGGGGCAGCCGTTGTTAAAAGTGAGACCTTAGAACTCATGTCTCGAGGTAGGTTGTGGCATTTACGTAGGTACGTTACGTAGGTCTATGGACTCTGGTAACCACTTAACACCAGGTGGTCCGTGAGCTCGTCCACACAACAATAAAAATTCTATACAAGACGATTATAACCAACCTAGATGTACCGCGTTCGGTTGGCAGTTAATAAAAAATCTTATCGATTTTATTATTCAATTTGAATTAACTCCGGTAAGAGCAGTGTTTCGTTGAATCTACCACCAGTTCAAAATCGCGACCCGTTGAGAAGACCTAGCGTGAAACTCAGTGGGTTGTGTCCATGGGAGTAACACCAATCCCACTACTAAACACATGGAAGAAGTAAGGAGGAAATATAGTTTTATTTTACTCTGACCAGATAGGCACTTGGCTGTAGATGTTTTATGAGGTGGACCATGGCTTCCTCGTGGCGGAGTATTTTAATATATATCTAAGACCTAAGACTTGCTATTCTAAGCGTCGCTCAACTGATTGCCTTATAATTTTTTAATTTTAAACGCGATAGATATTCGATTCTCATTTACCTCTATAATTATTTAAAAAAAAAGGACGCTAGTTTTGACTTTTAACAGTTCGAATTCAGATAGGTAACAAGACTCCCGAACTCTTCGTTACAGATCCCCGAACTGATCCCACGATACCTTTTATACTCAAATGTCATCACTCTGATACGGCTCGTCAAAAATTTTTTTTTCTTTCAACACAAAGACCACGATCATATCCCCCTCAATTTGGCAAAAGAACTTCAGGTAGAGCAACAAAAAAAATAAACGTGACAAAATGTCTGTAAACATGTACCTACACGTACCTTTGCCAAACATTGAAAAGAAAAAAAAAAGAAATGAAAAAAAAAACGCTTTACAATTCTGCAATTCGAACTCGAGACGAATCGAACACAGGAAAGTTCATTCAGCGTTTTAAATTTGGAAGGCGTTCCACGTGTTTGACTTTTGTAAACTGTTTTTTTTTTTTTTCTTTTTTTTTTTAAATCAGAGTTGCAACAGCGCAGAAATATCTACTATGGGTCGGGTAATTTGAAAAATATTACGAAGTACAAAAAAAATAATTGTAAAATTATAAACTAATTGTATCCAGTTCGAATTCAATCGCACGTGAGCACCGTGCGCGCGTGGCGTAAATAATTGGCGTTTAAAAGTGAATTCTGTAACGTATCGATTTGTAAATTGCATTGAAACTGTCTGTTTAAGTGAAGTTAAGTGGTTCTCAAGTATCTTACTTAACGTATAATACAATCATAAACCGTTCTAAGTTTACGAGCTAATGAAATTTAATAATAAATAACGTGGGTTTTATGTAATTAGCAAAATTATTTGTTCGTTTTACTATTTATGATAATCTATACAGACTCTTTTTTTTTATTGCTTAGATGGGTGGACGAGCTCACAGCCCACCTGGTGCTAAGTGGTTACTGGAGCCCATAGACATCTACAACGTAAATGCGCCACCCACCTTGAGATATAAGTTCTAAGATCTCAGTATAGTTACAACGGCTGCCCTACCCTTCAGACCGAAACGCATTACTGCTTCACGGCAGAAATAGGCAGGTTGGTGGTACCTACCCGCGCGGACTCACAAGAGGTCCTACCACCAGTAGACTCAATTGCAATGTGTCATTTTACTATATTTTTTTTTACAAACATGTTTCCAACATCAAAATCTATACTTATACTTATACTTATACTTATAATATTATAAAGATAAATATTATAAAGAGGAAAGATTTGTTTGTTTGTTTGTTTCGAATAGGCTCCGAAACTACTGGACCGATTTGAAAAATTATTTTTCCATTAGAAGCCGACATTGTCCCTGATGAACATAGGCTACATTTAAAAAAAAAAAAAAAAATTTTTTTGGTTTCATGTGTGTTTTAATGTTTCCGAAGCGAAGCGAAGGCGGGTCGCTAGTCACATATAAGTAGAGAGTGAACAAAAGAAAAAAAGAGAAATTTAGAAATTAAGTTTACACAAAAAAAAACAAAAGTAACACAATACGCACTTATTATGCATGTGTACACCATATGTACACCAACTTACACTATAAAACTAAGTAATACTCATCGGACTAAATCACCAAATAAATATTCCAAAATAGCATTTCTATATGCTACAAGTGACAAACAAAAGATATCAGCATTAGAGAACTTAGTATCATACAACCTACAAGATCTATGGACAAAAGAGTTAGAAACATCTGAGAGTGCTCTGAGGAATTGTTTGAGATTAGCTTAAGGACCTTTATCTCCTTTTTATCATCGCACCTCCCGCCATCGGAGCAGAGTTCATCCATATTATCTGGAACCGTTGCGTTCATTGACAGTGCGTTTCCAAAGGTCTTATTTGCCACGTACCATCCGGCAATGGAATGAGCTCCCCTCCACGGTGTTTCCCGAGCGCTATGACATGTCCTTCTTCAAAAGAGACTTGTGGAGAGTATTTAGCGGTAGGCAGCGGCTCGATTCTGCCCCCGGCATTGCTGAAGTCCATGGGCGACGGTAACCACTCACCATCAGGTGGGCCGTATGCTCCTCTGCCTACAAGGGCAATAAAAATAAAGCATAGTTCGTTCGATCATAGGTGGCATGATAGAAATCAGACCATAACCAATAATAGTCCAAGGGTTTCTCATATGTTGTAGGTATTATTGACATTTTACCTTTCATTATTAATTTATCGTATTTAATTTTAACCAAAAAACGCATTTATGTAAATAGCAAAACGGATCAACAACTCATTTCATATTTGTTTTTTGTATTTCATTGATACTTGTCAGGATGATAACAGAGCGAAGTTAGCGAAATCGGCAAAAATTTCTTTCAAAGATTCCGTTAGATGTCTGTACAATTACGTAGTTAATAAAAGCTTATTAAAAATAGGGTAGTCTAAAATTATATTTTATTGGTAACATTAAGCTCCGTTAGTGGCTATTAAATAAATAAAAAATCGTTCGACAAAACGGACGAGAAAATGGTACTTAATTGTCTATATATAGATGTTGATTTTGAAATCTACTAGGTATTCATAGTTAAAATTAATTATTTCTTAACAAAGACACCGTTTTGAATAGGAATATCAAACTCCGAGCTCTCATTTCAACCGATATTATACAACATTTTCAACTATTTTCGCCCTATTTTCACTATATTCAGACCTCATAGCAAAAACTAATTAAAATTTTTTTTTTTTTTTTTTTTTTTTTTTTTTTTTTTTTTTTAATGCTTTTTAACATCTAGGGTCATTAACGACCACAGTTTACAGTATTATTTTAAGTTACATTGACTTCAACATCATACTAAATTATACAAATCAATGATCTTTAAAAAACTAAGGGTCTGCTTATACCCATCAGTATGAGTCAGTCCGTTAAATTATCAGGGAGTTTACAAAATTGTCTTTCTATGTCATATGCTTTACATTCAACTAAGAAGTGTACCACAGTTTGATCCAAACCACACTTACGTTTGTTTTTATCTGTTTTGGTAATAAGATGTGTGTGAGTTAAATTTGTGTGTCCAATCCGCAATCTTGTATCTTATCAAAAATTGAATTTCTAATTTAAAATAAAAATGATGTGTTCTCAAATTTCCAGTGATGATCCCAAAGAGTTTTAATTTTGAACTTGAGATGTTTTTAAATATCTGATGCAGTGAAAATATTTGTTCTTTCGCAGAACCAAAAACATGTCTACGTGCCGACCTTCGAATCGAGTCTCGAACTAAAACGCCTCCCCAAGATGTCCACACACACACGAAGAAGGCTGCACCGGTGACTAACTCAACCCGACATGGCGCTGCTGACCAACTCCTCGACCACCGGTCCCACGGCCAGCGGGCCGACCGCCCCGCAGGCCCACCACTCCACGACGCCCCTACACCACTACTTCCACTACTTGAAGCAACCGTCGCCGTTGGCGCAGAACCCGTATGCTCATCATTCGAGCGCTCACCACATGGGCATGGGGCCCGGGCCGCTTGGTGGCTTGGGGCCGTTCGGGCTGACCCCGCACGGATTGGAAGCCGTAGGATTTCCTCAAGGTCAGTGTCCATTTCAATCGTCAGCATATCTTATATCTTTAAACGAGCAATTTTTGTATGTAAATATATATTATTATATAATCTGAATCTCGGAGACGGCTCCAATGATTTTCATAAAATTTAGTATACAGGGGATTTCGGGGGCGATAAATCGATCTAGCTACGATTTATTTTCAGAAAATGTTGTTTTTTTCGTGTTTTCAATAATCAACTTTATCGATAATTTTGTTTTTTTCTTTAAATAACCAGTTCATATTTCTTTTTTATTCTTCGGTTAGATCGAAAAATATTATTCTTATTTCATCATATTATTAATGTGTTATTCGTATTTAAATAAAATTTCTAAAAAATTAAATTAATAAAAAAAAAATACCGAGCCATCCAGCGACTTATATATAATTTGAAGAAGTACATGTAATTTTTTTTTGTATCAAGATCGTAATGTAAGCTGTCTATAGTCAGTCGAACAGAAAAAATCTAATTTAAACTAAATCCCAAAAACAATTTCAAAAATTCCTGCAAATTAAAAGTTCTGAAGTACATTACAAGCGTCTGCCGAGCAATTACGCCAGCTCGGTAGAAAAAAGATCCTTCTACGTCAAGTAATGAATTTTGTATATACATCAAAACTATTTACGCTAAAATTAAAACGATATTGTTTGTGAATTGTGGATAAACAACTGTTTCCTTCGACTTCTATTGTTTAAGCAGTAACAAGAAATGGCAGACGCCATTTCGGCTCAAAATATTATCTTTCAAAAAACCCGTTTGCTAATTATCTATAAACCATTAATCGTAAAAACACTGCATTTATTTTATTAATGGTAACACCGATTGGAAAATCATTAATATACCATAGCAACCCAGATTTACGTAGGTATATAGTAGGTACATTTTAAATATTGTTCCCCCGAAACAACACAATAAACAGTACAACGTTAAGAATCATTGCATAATTTACGTACCGGAGAAGACATCCTTGGAAATAATCAAAACAGCCCGTTTTGCCTCCCCCATTTAAGCCGCTTATAACCCCCACCCGGGGTTACCAGCTCTCCTACCCCCGAAATGCGGAGTCGCTTGTTAGTTCGTCCTAATTAGTTACAAGTTCGTGTTTTGACGTTGGCAACATCGTGCGGTTTTTTTTTCGGATGTTAGCGTGAATTATGAAATCACATTTTCCTATATATCACGACTATAAATTGGGGTTATTTCAATCGAAAATTATGAAATGTAACATTTTTGAAAATAAATTTAAAAAATATACATAGGTAGTTATAGTCTCAAATTAAAAGCATTTTGTAGTAAAATTATAAAAAAAAAAAATGTGTCACTTTTTTTTTATTATCTATACTTTAATATTATAAAGCTGCAGAGTTTGTTTGTTTGGTTCAACGCACTAATCTCAGGAACTACTGTTTAGCTTTGAAAAATTCTTTCTATGTTAGATTGCCCATTTATCGAGGAAGGCTATTATACAGCATCACGCTAAGACCAACGGAGCACCAATAAAGAATGTTTCAAAATCCGTTTTTTTTTCCGAATTCATAACCTCCTGCTTTGAAGTCGGTTAAAAAGCGTGATTTTGATTCCTTAAATAGCTCCATAACATTCTATTATTCAAAAATATTTTCACTTTCTACGTAAATGAAGTCGCGGGTAAAATTTAGCGTTATGCCAAAGTAACTATTCCACGCGGACGATGTCGCGTTCAAATTTCGAATAAAGATATCGTCGCACTGAAAAAAAAAAAAAAGTTCTTTTTTTTTTTTTCATTTTAATTCGAACGTCCGTTCTTAATACAAACCGGAGTTCTCCGAAGAGGTGGGATTAGGAAGTTCCCTTGCGACGGGGGACCGACCGGGCGCGTTCAGAACGACGCGAGACTAAGAGATGCGTTCCTTATATAAAAAAATAAATCATTTTTTTTTTTTCAAACATTCACTAGCGTGCTACGGATAACCTGAAACGAAAATTGAATATATATATTTACTAGCGACCCGCCCTCGCTTCGCTTCGGGAACTGTAATTTATTATTGATTTCTCTACTATTTAATGGATGTTATTATACATATAAACCTTCCTCTTCAATCAATCTATCTATTAAAAAAACCGCATCAAAATCCGTTGCGTAGTTTTAAAGACTTAAGCATACATAGGGATATAGGGACAGAGAAAGCGACTTTGTTTTATACTGTGTAGTGATTCTTTAGTGTACTATGTAGTGATTATCTGACGCAACACGTCACGTGAATTTCATTAGAAATTACGAATGTATGTTTTTACCTATTATTTTAAGACCAAACGGTCTAGTGAAATTTTTTTAGCTCTATTCGGCTAAAAAGATCGTGTCTTTGTCAAATGGACGTGAATTTTTTTTCGATGATGTAAAAGGTAATATTTTTAAAATGTACTATAATAAGTATAACGTGTTTGTATCTTTTAATGTTTTAGTCTGTCATCATACGTTTGGAGAAAGTCGGAGTCGCTTCGGAGAAAAATAAAATATTTTATTCACATCGACCTTTTTTAAGAATTATTCTCGATTTAAATGAAATATTATTGTTTTTACTTACGCGAAGGAATTTTAGATTGCCTTAACCGTTCCCACAATTAACCTAGTATTTTGCTGTTATATAACATGTGTCCATAGATATCATAAGAGATATGAGGTCAAAGAATCAATTTTACTAGTAAAAAGGCTGGAACACGCGTGACTTTGGCAAAAAAAATGCGGTTTACATTTACGTTAAACAATGTTCTCTCCGTATGATCCAAGTAGTCAATCAACATTTTTTAATTACATAAATTGTTAAAAAAAAATCTGAATCATCGCGTGTCTTCACTATTAAGATACGGGCTCTAACTCTAATAACCTTACATTAGGCGGTGAATTTGTAACAACAACAACATATACATAACACATGTAATTTAAAAACAAAAATTCATTCACCTTGACATAAGTCAAAACGTTCTAATACTTAATACTAAATATGGCATTTATCATTACCACATTAAAACCTCAACCGTATCCCCTTGCCTATATCCTATACCGAAAAATAGCATACAATAATTTGACGCAATTAAAAAAGAAAATAAAAAAAGAAATCAATTATTCCCGCGCGAAAAGATTAAAAGAGCAACTGGCCGTCAGAAAAAAAAAAATCAGAAATTTATGTAACAATAAAAAAGTGAATTTCAAAAAACGAACGCCCAGCTGCCGTGCTCTGGAGGGAGACGGAGACATTACAGCAACGGGTGCGAGCGAGACGGGGATACGATTAAAATAGATGTCGGATTAATTTCATTGCATTGAGTATTATAAGTTGAATTTCACTCGTTGCTTACACCCACATAGAAGAACAATGTTATTCTGAACTAGGCATCGTACGCGACTTCGCCTTTAGCATTTAAAAAAAGAACAGCCGTTCTTTTTACCAATTTCCCGCGCATATTTTTTTATTAGGCCGTGGTCTGTTCAAAGAAAACTCTATAATCTGTCTAGCGATTGGAGTTTTAACTTACCAGATTTAAGATTGAAAATCGCACGATCTATTTAACGTCCATAGATCATTTTAAATACTGTATTGTTATTCGATTTTCACAAATCATAGAAATAATTAAAATGACGTTTGATTTACGCTTTTTTTTTATTGTACTTATATTATTTCGATCTTTTGGAAGGAATACTCCAAAGTGTTCGTAGTAGCGAATGATTGAATTGATAAAAATATTGTCTTTATACATTTTCTTTAGGTAGTACAAAAACTCTATCGTAAAAATTCAAATCGTAATTTTCCGAAACGCACAGACGAACGTAAAAACAATTTATACAGCAACAACATTATAGTATTTAGAGCAGTAATGTATGACAAGTTATATAATTAAACAGTTGTACACGTGATAGTTTTCAATTATTTTTTTATCTACCTATGATAGTAACGCCGAGAGGTTATTCTAGCTTCACTGGATGTGTAGGCGACGTGTGTATGCTCACGGGGCTCAACCTGGCGAATTTGCTAACACTAGCCCTAGCAAAGGCAGTGCTTCGCTGAATCTAGCGCCGGATCGGAATCGCCTAGTCGGAGTCGGAGTCGTAGCCTAGTCTAGACTAATCTAGTCTCGAGATCTTTTTTTTTATTACTTAGGTGGGTGGACGAGCTCACAGCCAACCTGGTGTTAAGTGGTTACCGGAGCCCATAGACATCTACAACGTAAATGCAGCTCTATCTTGAGATTTGATTTCTAAGGTATCAATATAGTTACATCGGTTGCCCCGCCCTTCAAACCGAAACGCATTACTGCTTCACAACAGAAATAGGCAGGGTGGTGGTACCTACCCGTGCGGAGTCACAAGAGGTCCTACCACCAGTACAGATCGGCGACGGCATTCACATTAAACAAACCACTTAACGCCAGATGGACGGTGAGGTTCACTCAATAAAAATCTAATTACCTGCGTTAATTGAAAACACAAAAAAAACCCCACGAATCTCCAGTCCGACGTACTGTAATAGAACAAGGCACGGAAATAACAAAAGGATATCCGCTTACTATCGATCGGGAAGCCCTATGAAGTTGTCGCGTCACGCATACGACCCCTCTGCTCCGACTGTTCAGTGTGTATAACGACAAACATCAGACACGCTGACGTTTGGTTCTGGGGTGATGACCTAGAATGGCCCTAAAGCCATTAGGTTCACTGGATATGCAGCAACATTCTTTGAACATGTCCTTTGAATGTGGTCGTCGTCATTCAAATGAAACTACCAATCAACCTTAACTAGTTTCACATTCCCGATCCTGCTGACAGAATGGAAAGCAGTCGACGTCGCCCCAAACACATCATCTCGGATCCTCCCGATCCACTAACGGTGCTTCTAGGTACATCAAGCACAGGTCATCGTTCTTGTCGAACCCGTCGCGTGCGACGAAGTACTCAACGAGTAAATTGACCCACAGACACAGCCCACTGAGTTTCTCGCCGGATCTTCTCAGTG